TTAGCACAAGTTATGTAAATTGAGTTGACGTTTGACTGTAATGTTTCCCTCTCACAGCAGCAGAAATACACATTGTGTTCAGCTCCAAAGTGTTACCCCTCCAGCTCTTCAGCTGCCCCTGTCAGGCAGACCAGAGAGAGAGGAGGATCAAATACCCATCTGCAACCAGTTACAAGCCACTTTTATTATTTCTGGCTGCTCAATCAGGGGCCATAACTAAGCATGCTACCTGCAGCAGCAGTTTTACCATGAAATATTCAGGACTCACTGGCCCAGATTAAGGATGGCACAAGTGTGATTTTTGAGAAATTTAACAATCATTCTTAACTTAAGATCCAGTTTTAAGTTTTTGATAAACCTAACTTTCTGCATTATATATAGCAGGAATGTTTGGGTTGCCCAGTCACGTTTCATCAATTCACAGACAGTACACTACTCATGGAAGCAAAAAATCTTAAACTAAGATTTAAGAGGCTTAAGAGCTCTGTTCACACACTGAGTGGAATCATAAAATTTAACTCCTTACATCTGGTTACCTCATCACACCCTCCCCTAGCGCGCGCACACACACACACTCTCACACACACACACACACACACACACACACACACTCACACACACACACACACACACACACACACACACACACACACACACACATTTGGTACACATGCATGGAAGCTGGATGCTTTCCTTGAGAGAAATTTGGGGGTTCCCTAACAGATGCACCAGCTAAAGCTCACTTTTGACACAAAACAAAGCTACAGTCAATGTGTTACACCACGAGTTAACAACTGAGGCTTTTCTGTTACTGCCCCTCAACAGGAAGAGAAGACAGACATGTCTTTGTCTCACACAAATTTATATCACCCGAGATAAATCTGCCATTTTACATTTGTATTGCACTTTATTTTCACTTACTTTTTCTCAGGAGAGCCATTTTTCATGTTTGCTTCCAGTGACATCTGCAAACACACACACACACACACACACACACACACACACACACAGAAAGAGAGAGCTATTAAGTCACTCAAGAAGTTAACTTGTAGAGAAACAAAAGATGAAATATTGCTTGGCTTTAATAATGATGTAAGGATTTGGCCCTTCCCTCTGTGGAATATTAACACTGAAACCTGGCAGCACAGCTGGAAGTGACTTGAAAAGCCTCTGATGTTTAGAAAGATGCCTCATGTGTTTTTGCACAAATGTTGAGGTAAGGATTTGTAAAAGAAAAACTTCCAAAATCAGGTTTCTCCTGCAGAGATCTAACTGTGACAGCCGATGATGCCATTACAGCAGATGTCTGAAATAATCAGATGACTCCACTTTACAAGTTTGGTGCAAAAATGGTGCATAAAGCCAAAGAAAACACAGAAAACATATCACAGTCCAGACATGTAAAGACTGTACTGTAAACTCAGCCAAACAACGTAGAGCAAAAAGCATTTGGGATGCCGGAAAATGCACTTTATTTCATCATGCCTTAGCTATGAGTTATTGGTGTGAGTGAAATGGTTCACAAACTGAGTGTTTTTCATAAGCTCTCTGCAAGCTTTATCTGGTGGCCACATTTACAATTCTTAACACAATTAAACCTTATTAATTTGGTGCAAGATGGTATAACCACAAAATGTCCGACTTTAACTGTCTTTAAAAGTATTAATGGTTCCCATGTTGTGTTGTGACTATAAAAATATATAAACCTTGATTTGCCCGGATAGATTTTTCCTGGAAATAGCAGTTTTTTTGACCATAAATACACATAACCATGTTTCCAGTGGTCTTCAGACAGGGAAGAGCAGCACAGTGGGATGGAAGGAACTATCATTACATGCAATGATGCATTCTTGTATTCAAAATACTTTAATTCAAAGTAAGAGTTAAAAGAAACTGACACTAAGTAGCCTCCAAGTGTGTTTTTAAAGCTGAACAGCTATGCAAGTATGTTACTATATGTAAGCCACAATAATTACAAACCCTTACTGTCACTCTTACATACATATATTTTCATTCTCACACTCGTATATATTTATATATAGTCCGGAAGCTGCAAATTGCCGTGCTTGCAGTTATTTTTTCTTGAGATAACAACTTCGACATAACGACATAATCAAACCACTATCACAAGAAAACAAAATGTTTTTTATCTTATTACATTTCCTATTATTAGTTATAATGTTTATCTGAGATCAGATGTCGTTTTCTTGTAATAAATCATCTCGAGAAATCTGCCTTTTATTTTCTCGAGATGACGAGATAATCTCAGCATTAAAATAATAATTGCAACCATGGCCGTTCTTGGCTTCTGTAATGTAGTATACATTTATAACATGTACATTTTAACACTTTTAACTATTTTAACAGAAGTTTACAGTATATTCATGCTATTAACATACATATTGTACCCCTCACACGTTTGTGTACTATATTTTTGGATGCATGATTTGTCCAAAACTCAAGATGTGCGGATACTGTCCACACATTAGGGTCCTTGTGTGGATGGACCTGATTGAGACTTATTGAGGAGGGGGTGGCTGGATTGCCCCAAAAGCTGTACACAGAAATGTATACTTTACATATACTGATGCTTGTGATAAACTGCCAATGTGACCTGACCAGCAGTAGACTCACTAAGGCCTGAAGCCCGGAGTCACTGGACGACACATGTGGCTGCATTTTGTCCAAAACCTTCCACCACTCCCTTCCTTCCTGGTGCCAGGGCTTCATCGAGGAATCTATTTGCCTCCCAGCCATTTAAACATTTATATGACTCAACTGTTTCACAGCGTTTCACACTTTAAGATGCTCATCAGCTCACGTGTCACACCTACAGTAGCCTCAGAAACCTGCACACTCCAGCTGAACTTCAGCAGACGGCTGAAGTAAAACAGGACATGCAGCCTGTGTCGTGCATTTGTTTCAGGTTTGTTTGTCGCTGTTTAGAGCAGCCCGAACCATCTGGAGCTGATTAGCTACGGATACACTCCTTCCAGAAGGCAGAACAGCCTAACACAATGCTGTCTATGGTCTGCATTCGAACAATCAGTAATTCACTCAAGACTCTCTGAATTAAAGTATTTTCAGCTTACATGTTCTCCAATATAAATGCAGTGTTTTTGCAGAATTCCTCCTCCAGATATGAACCACCACATGATTTTATGCCACTTGAATGCTTTATTTTTGAGAGTTTGTCAAATAAATGATACTAAATGTCTGTATGAAAGGTTAGCTCTCTGTCTCTTACTTTAATTTCCTTTAATGGCTTCTTCAAGACATCAAGGATTAGGCTACATGAGCAGTTTCTGATTATGTAGAAACTCTTTTTCCTCATCAATAGAAGTTCCTAAAAGTTTGCCTGTAACTGTGTGTGTCTATGTGCAGAGAATGGGGGGTGGGGGTCCAAACCAAACCACATAAGTCATCACACTGCAAAAAATTCCTAACCTGGATGGAGTAGTTAACTTTTCCAGGAATTAAAATGTACTCACAAGAGAAAAGGTCTGTAATATTTAACTCATGTACAATGGGGTTAAATTGTTTTGGGGAATTTCTTAGGGAAGAACTGTTTGAAACAAGCGAAAATTAGGTAAATCAATTACCTCATGGGCTACAGAAAAAAAATAAATAAAAAAACAGAACCCCCCCAAACCTTGACCCTTAATTCCAGAAAGTATTGCACTGCACTGAAATAACATAAACTGTGTCATGCATCATGCATTTGCAGATTTTCCACATGTTTCTCAAGTAAAAAGCTAAAAAGACAAACTATTTTAGAGAGAGAGATTTTTTTCAGTGTAGCAGGACAAACAGTTCTCATGTCTAACAATACAACAGGGAGGCATAAACAGCACAAAATACAAGAAATATATGTCACAACATACAAATACCTGCAAAACTGCATTATCTTAGTGATTATGACATTTAGAAGACACATTTAAAGTAAGGAGATGTGTCCCTGTTGGTTTGATGTGTAAATGATCAGTCATTTAAATTGTAGCACAATTTAAAGAACAATGAAAATATCACAAATATTGGCTACTCACCAGAGAAAGCGGGTGGTGACAATGGTCAGTCTCATTCCTGGTGTTCATGGTCCATGTTGTAAAACCTCTGAGGACTGAGACCCACCCTCACCAACGATCCCACTTTTTCTCCTCTCCCACCTTTTTTTCCCTCCTTCTTCCCTCCAGATGTGACTCATCTTGTTCACCAGCACTGTGATTCCTTGCTGTCATTTACCCTGAAACTGGATTAGCCCACCCCATTTCCCTTAATCATAGCAGTGAAACTTTAAAAAATATTTTATTCTATTAAAGCAGTATCTGCTTTGGGTATGTTAGATTAGGCACAGTGTGAGAAAATAATCTACAGTCATACAAATCACACATTGACAGTGCTCTATTTGAACCAGTGGGCTGTGACATATACTTAAACTACAATTTATTATATATTCATACTGGGTTAAGTTAATATACTGGAGAAATGACCGATTTAAAATAGTTTGGGGATCTTTCAGCAAGCTAAATAGCATGTCGTCTTAAAAACTACATTTCCCATAATGACCATGGCGTTGCTCTCCTGGAATGGACGACCAAAGCTTATCCCCGTTAAAACACCTCGTTCCTGAACACAGATTTCTTTCCTTGGATATGTATATGAACAAGTTAGATGTCTTAATAACATATTCATATATACATACTTATATGCGTCCTCCTTATAATCTAACAGTGCAACAGACAATAATCATTCAAATGTATTATGGTTATTACCTGGTTATTACACGTCTTCGTTCAAGATAGAAATAGTTAATGTACCAATGTATTTATGTATTTATTAAGTCCTATTTTTATATGATATATTTAAATACTCTCATATGAATATTATATATTAATGATGATAATAATTGCTTTTGTCTGTTCGTGGAGTTTTTGTATTGTTTTGAACGGAAGGATAGTAACAGTGTAAGGTCATGGTTGACCAATGAATTTTCTGCTACTCTGTGAAAAACCCCTGGTAAACACTTCACTCCAGCATGTCTTCCTGCAGCTCAACTTAATATTTTGTCTGTCCCTGGCCGGTGAGTGACTGTATGTCCCTGCAGCAGCCTTTAACCTCCAGCCAACATGGACACAAACACTTTAAAGCTGCTGGTGAAGCTCACTCAGGAGGGACAGTTGAGCTCTCTGGAGGAACTGTTAACTTTAGGCGGCTCGGCGGCGGTTCAGACTGTCAGCAGCAAACACTTGGGTCGGTCCGGAGACACCCTGCTGCACTACGCCGCCAGACACGGACACCTGGACGTTGTGGAGTATCTGGTAAAGCGGGTGGGCATGGATGTGGAGGTGTACAACAACGACTACAAGAGGCCGCTGCACGAAGCTGCGTCCATGAGCCACCAGGCTTGTGTGAGCTATCTGCTCCGGGAAGGAGCCAAGGTGGACAGTCTGAAGAAGGCTGACTGGTGAGGATGGCCGTATGAACCTGGTCGAAATGAATCCACAAATAAATTGATCCACATGGGGTGCTCTGTGGTTTTAAGATGGAATTGTGCTCCATGCAATTTCAGCTCCCTTCGATAGCTCAGTTGGTAGAGCGGAGGACTGTAGTGGCATTACGCTGAAATCCTTAGGTCGCTGGTTCGAATCCGGCTCGAAGGAGACACTTTTTAATTTACCAAAGAGAGTACAGTGACTTAAAAACTTGTATTTTACGAACTCTTTACGAGAAAACAATCAAGGTGAAAAATAAGAAACAAACAGACCCAGTTTGTGCCTCTCGTGTTATTACAAGTTTTGGTTGCGGTTCAAATCCGGCTCAAAGGAGCAAAAATTTTAATTTACCGAAGAGCAAGCATTTGTTTTACTAAAAAGTTGTGAAACTCTTGTTCAAGAGGTCAAAACACACAAAGGCGCGGTACCACGTTGTATGGTTCAATTTGACTCCGAGCTGAGCGTCTGTTTTTGTCAAAGATAAAACCCGCTGCACAATAAAACAACAAGATGATCAACAACAAAATCAACTTTATGACTATATAAGATAATATTACACGTTTTAATATCAGACACATATCTATGTTAATGTTATTTTCCATGCTTTTGTATTTAGATATGTAATGACAGATTTTCACAGTACAATAACTGTCTCAGAAAATACTGGATTGTACTGTACTACACTATTGTTGTTGTTGTTGTTGTTAGTTACAATGACCCTTAAAAGAATGAGACAGAAACAATTCATAATAGCTTTCATAATTTAAAAACTACTAGTAATACTTTTTTTCTGATTGGAATGTCTCTTCTATATATTTACTATAAAAAACCCAGCTGTATATTAGTTTGTAGTGTGACTGCCAACATCAGTGGAAATCATTGGGTCTTTCCTCTCAGGACTCCCCTGATGATGGCCTGCACTCGGAGGAACCTCGACGTGATCCAGGAGCTGCTGTGCCATGGCGCAGACCCCGCGCTGAGAAACAAGGATGGCTGGAACTCCTTCCACATCGCCTGCAGGGAGGGAGACCCTCTGGTTGTACAGCACCTGCTGGTTGTCGCACCGGACATCTGGAGGACGGACAGCAAGACGCGCAGGACGCCACTGCACACTTCAGGTAAAAGTGTCCTCAGATCCCCAGTTCCATGGACTTCAGGCTGTTTGTTGATGAATGAAAGACAATATCAGGTTTTTCCTGTTATGTGAGGGACCTTTTGAGTTCAGTGTCATATTATAATTACACTAACACTCTCTGTTCTTTATTCAGCAATGCACGGCTGTGAGGAGGTTGTTAAGATCTTGCTGGAGAGGTAGGTTGAAATTTTGCCTGGGTAATACTGCCCCCAAACAAATGTGGATGACAAAGAGGTTCCAGTCAGTTCTGGAGGGAAACAATATAATATGTGACTTTTTGTGAATGCCCTTCCCTCAAAGAAACATAATCGCTGTAACCATATAGGCCTACTTGCTTTATGTCAGCACATCTGATATTTAATTATGATTTAATGACAAACATGCATCAATAATAACCCACATTTTACACATGATCCATCATGATAAAGAAAAAAACTTATTGTCTTATTTAGAGGAGCCCAACTCCCCCTGGCTCCCCTGTAGTTCGCACTCGAGTATAACCTGTGCTTGACAAGATTTTCTTTTGTCACGGTCAATAATCAACCTTTAATGCCATAATCTGCACCATATACATAGGAAAAATGCCATGGTTACAGTCCTGTTTGTAGACTGCAGAAATTTCCTTAAAGATCCTCTCCAGACATCTATTACGACATATTTAAATAGTCTGCTTGGAATAATGTCTGACATGTTTTTTTTTGCAAAACAAAATATAATTTCCACATTAAAAACCTTAAAAAGTCCTCATTAAAAATTCCAGAATCTGTGAAGATGCTAATTTTGTTCATTTCTAAAGATTTCTTGCTGGACACAAGATAAATGTATGTCTGTACTTTTCAGTTTGATGATGATTTGCAGCTCACAGATAACCCACTTTTCTTCCAGATGTGGCTACACCCCAGACAGCACTGACACCTGTGGAGTGACTCCCTTCATGGATGCCGTCAGGAACGGACACATTTCTATAGCCAGGCTGCTGTTAGAGAAGCACCAGGTAGAGTAATGTTTCAGCTCCTATGTAGAAACTGAGAGATGTACTGTATGTTTACTGTCACCACCTGACTTGTGTGCACTGCAGGCGTCTCCAACAGCAGCTGACACAATCGGGGCTCAGCCGGTGCACCAGGTTGCCGTCACCGGCCAGGAGGAGGCGCTGCGGTTCTTGGTGCGTGACCTAAATGTAGACGTGAACCAGAGGGCGACTGACATTCAGCTCACTGCCTTGCATTATGCTGCAAAGGTCAGATCAGTGATTCCTCACTCTCTATCCTTACACCCTTAACTCAGAGGGAGACAGACATGCTACAGGGTAGACAGCGGTGGCAGTAGAAAAAATACAATATGTAAATATTTACAAACCTACTAACACACCTGGAAAATTACTGTCTGCAAATGAACTCTTCTTCCTCATTTCTATCCATGTTTTTTAGGAAGGCCACACGTCCACTATAAAGACACTGCTGGAGTTGGGGGCAGATCTTCATGTCCGGGACAAAAAGGGAAGAACTGGTAAACACACTTCATCTGAAGTATATTAGTATTGATATGATATTATAATAATGTATTAGTATATTAGTACATCAAACAATATGAAGGCCACAGGACAAAATGTATCAGTCTAACAGATACGTTTTGTCATGTGGCCTTCATCAGGGTCATCATGAAACAAACAACATTCAAATAGGAAAGGTATGACAAAAAATAAATAGATATACAAATATGAAAGACAACCAATAATACCAAAAACCTTTTCCCTTCTGTGCCAAAAACCTCTGCTCTACCTCTAAAATGCAGCTGCAGTGTGGAGCTTGTATTTAACAAACTCAAAGGCGGTTGGTGGTTTCTATGGCGACCCTTAAGGGACAATGGGGAAGGCAAAAAAATTTGTGGGCGAAAAAAATATAAAAATACTTTTGCAACCACCCAGCTGTCATCACATTTTGACTCAAATGTTTTCCTGATTGGTGCTCTGATGCATGCGACATCATTTTTCCAGCTGAGCCCCGCCCACTAAAACCAGGGAAAAAAGCACTGAGAAAACAGAGCAGACAGAAATAACATATGTGAATGTTATGTGGTCATTTTATTTTGCATATTATTGTACCATAACTTCATTCAAAGTGGACAGAAAGTAAATCAAACTCACCAAAACCATCTTTGTTAGTCTTTCCACTGTTGCAACAATCAACAACTCTGATTTGGTCCAAATAAATCCTTAATTGACAGACTTTACCGGCTTTGTATACAAAACCCAGAGAGGCTGCGATAGCAACACAGGCAGAGTGTCATCATCATTCTCTGCTCAGGACAACATGACTCCACTTTACACAGCTACTAGTTGTTTTATCTCATATATAACCTTTAAGGTAGGGCTCAATGGGCTAAAACAGGCAAAAACACCAGTACAGTCCCTTACCAGCCCTTATTTTCACTCCTCCCCCAGCTCTTCATATGGCCTGCATCGGGCAGCATGCAGACACAGCCAGGATGCTCCTGCAGCTCGGACTCAAGGACGCAGAGGACGCATCTGGCACAACAGCGCGGCAGCTCGCCAAAAAACCAGACGTAGTGCGAGTGTTTGAATGTGGCTTACCACGCCCATCGTAGTGACTTCATAGACTGCAGCCACTACGTCAGTTTAGGTAGTGTAGATTACAATAAAGCTTTATTTGTATTGTTTTGTGTTGCGTATTCTTGAGTGAAAGAATCTTGTGTCTTGCCACGGAAACCCAGTACTGCAAATATATAAATATTGCAATACTCCATCAGTGGGCCACAGGCTCAGTCACCATTGTGTTACCTAATGTGGCGCTAGATAGTGATTCTAACAGATATTTATTTCAATGAGTATCTCTGAGATTGCCACTCTCAGTCCCATAGACTGATGCTACTGACTTGCTTGCCTTGAACTGCAATAACTTGAAAGTTCTGAACTTATGGAGGCCATAATGGTCAGCCACTCTGCTGCATGGGAATAAGAATCTTGTTTGGAGAATGCTATGCACTGAGGTTTAGACATGATTGGACGCGCCAAAGATACGCTCCCCTGACTGTAGGATATTGTCTGATTGTGTTTGGATATCATCAAACTGCCACTGCAGTTGCTGGGATGTCAGATACAAAACAAAACATCAGCTCTGATAATCCCATAGTCTTGTTGGCTGGCTCAAGTATAGTACTTAATATGAAGGTACTGTTACTGTACTGTAAAAACTGGTGTATGCATGTAAATATGTATGAAATAAATACATTGAATGTTTGTATGAATAATGTTAATGCTTTTTTAAAGGTATATTTCTTTTATTTTAGGTTTTAAGCTCCTTGAAATTATAGTTCCACCTTTTTAAAATGCCTGAAACACACATTCACACACGCTTCTTATTACTAATTACTGCCTATAGCCAGTCCTATACTGACTGACAACGGACATGAGTAATATAGTGGCTCACTTCATCAATGTCACTGGGTTTGCTAAACAGGTGTGTCGACCATGAATCTAGTCCACTCTTGTTACACAAATAGTCAGGTGAAACTACACTGCAGTACACATTATCACACTGTTGGTGGAATTCCTCATATGACATGATGGTTAGTTCCTGCTATAATAGGTACAATTGTATTGAATGAGAGTGGGCATTGATTCAACATGCAGGGTGTGAAGCACTCACAATGTAAGAGTAATGAATATTCAACAACAAATGACTTATAATACTACTTGTGGTTATGGGCTGTACGTTTAGGTGAAAACACAATTTTTCAGAAGCCTAGGGTTAGAGCTATTAATGAATTCAATGCAAGGTCTTATGTCTGTCCTGAATACAATACAGTAGGAAGTGAGAAAAAGATGTATTTATTGTAACATGTGGTGTTTTGGCAGCCATGTTTGCTTCATATAATAGACCATTTCCCCTCAGCTTTCCCTTTGTGCCGCTTCTTCCAAGTGATTGACAGCCGAGAAGCCACGCCCCCCGAGGCGCCTGACGCTGAACCGCAGCCCCTTCTCATTTCCAGCCCCGCAGATCTCCATTTTCTTCTTTCACGATATTCAGCAGCAGAGGACTAAACATTTGGAAAAATGAATGAAGAATACGACGTTATCGTCCTGGGCACCGGACTGACGGTGAGAAAGAATCAAACGACGCGCTCTACAGCGTGGAAATGATTTGCAACCTGTTAGCACTTGACAGTTTGTCTTTGAGCTAACTGGGCCTAATAAGCAGGGCTAGCGCTAAGTAGCTAGCTTAGCCGCTAACCGAGATTGAGCGACTACCTGTTCGTTAATGGAAACTGTGAGCAAAGTAGCTAGCTGTTAGCACTATGCTATCTGCCACTGCTACCAAAGCCTGGAAAGATTAACGATACCCAACTGTTACACAAGATAAACTCTGTTGTTGTTGTGGTTAGTAAGTACCTGTCGACTCTGAATGTAGCTAGCCCAGTTACTTAACCGGCTATTTGGAAGTTGGGCGCCTGTTCGGGCAGCTTTTCTCAGTAAAGATAAGATTATACGCGGATAATAAGTCTGCTACCGTTAGCTGACCTAAGTAAAGCTAAGTAATTAGCCTGCTAACAACAGAATAACGACGTGTCAGCTTCGCCGAATAATCTTTCGTGCACCGTGCCTGTTCACACGGCTGTTTAGTTTCTCAGTTTACTACCATTTTAGCTAAGGTAACGTTAGATACTTAACGTATCTACTGAAAGCAGCTAACTGAAGCTATCTAAAGTTTCCGCTCCGCGCTGTCCGTGCGGTGGACTCACAGACTGAAGTCCTCTACAAGCTTTAGAAATCCAACTGTGGCAAAGTTACCGAAACCCAACCAGAAGACAATTGATGAAAACGGCCAAGTGCTTATCCGAAACAGCCGGATGACTTTGGACGCTGCAACTTGAGTCAGAAACTTTAGCAGTAGGTTGTAACTTGAAGTTGAACTTCTGGCGTCCCTTTAACTTGCATACTAAAAAGCCATAAAGCTGAAGCAGCATAATGAGGTGGTAGTTTATGAGCTATTCTCGTATGTGTAGGGTTTGTTTACCCGGAAATTAACTTTGTCAGCATTGACCATCCCATGGCCTAATGGACAGAATCCTACTGCTGACAGGCCTCCTGACTTGCTGTCAGTTTTATTTGGCTGAAGCGGGACAAGGAAATACCGTGCTGACTCCAGGACTAATGCAGGCTGATGGGCAGCTTCCTGTCAACCCCTAGGCCCACATTCATTACAGTTTCTAGACTGCCCTCGACCTGGATAACTTTATTACACAGTAAAGCTGCCCATATCTGCCTCAACACAGCCTTGTTAAGTTTCTGTAAGTTGTTATTTCCTTATGACCGCAACCACTGAGGTAGAAAGCGTTTTTCTGCAGGCTCAGAGCAGGCACAGGCTAAAGCAGCCAAGCAGACACAGGGTTGGTTACATTTTAGTGGGCAGGGCGTTAAACTAGCTCACATTTGGGTGTGGTTCCACCACGACTGAGGAACCGAAAGTAAACTGTAAGTACTCTGTAAGCTCAGTTAACTCCGAGCTGGACAGACTGCCAGGCAGCCTAAAAAGCCCTGCAGGCCGTAGCACAATGTAGTTTCACATGATTTTAGTTCCGTTATGCAAATCAGTGAATTCACTTTTGTACATGTGAGAGTGTCCCCTTTTATGCTACACACTAACACTGCCATGTCTACTGTTTTAGCAGATTTCACTGAATTCTAATAAGTCTTTAATCAGAATAGTTAACAATGCTGTTCCAGCTTACCATGTGCAAGTTATTTTACTCACATTAGATCATGCCAATCATTCCCTCTGCTTTTGTTAGCTATCTTTTATTCCAAGTCACTACTGTACATCTAGAATGGACATGATTAGTTGATCCTTTGTTGTAGTCTTCTTGGCATTTTTTATGGTTTAAGTGGTTGGGGGATGGGCCTCCCCATCTGTCCACTACTAATGACACATGAGGGGAGTGGCTTGGCACAATATATCAAACTGTACCTAAATGCAGTCTGGTTCACATTACGATACACTTGGTGATCCTGAGTAAGCAGCTTGCCTGAAGATGAGAGTGACGAATAGGGCGGCAGTTCAGTAGTTGAGGAGGTTGTGTGTTCAGGAATATACAGAGACTGCAGTTTTACACCCAGTCACTACATCAGCAGTGTATGGTGCAAAATCACTAGTAGCTGAGGGATAAATGTTAGTGATGGACACATCTTGTACTTATCCCATGAAAAGCTATTGTTAATACAATGGAATAATATTCCACCAAAAGTACAGCTTCTCTATTCAAAACAAAAGAAAGATTATTTAACTGTCAAGTATTTTGTTTGTGTGATATTTAAGTCATTTTTATTATTTTTTTTTAATTTTTAACTCTGCTGCTACTCCTCTCTGGGTGTCTGCATGGCTGGTCGCCCCGACACTGTCCCTCCACACACTTATTTGCCTCGTTCTCAGGCAGGCTGGTTCCTGACTCAGATTCAGGCCTGGACACAGTCCGGTTACCTGCTATTGTGGAAAACAAAGTAGTCCTAGCGGCATTTATTGTTTGACCAACTCTGTGTGAGCGAAAGGGCAGCCCAGTGGCAGCCCTCCCTGCAGACACCTGGCCTCGCATCTGCATATCCCAGAGACCCTCTGGCCGCCAAGCGTGGCTCCGGAGGAGGTGTGACCCCGAGCAGCAGCAACAGGCCAGGCAGGAGGCACTGCGACAGTGTTTACAGTGGAAACTACAATTCACAATCTGCTGTTTCGGCACCGCCACTGGCTATTTGTTTTACAAACCAACCGCAAGAAAAACAGAGACAGCCAGAGCTACTCATAAAACAGCTTCTATGCTTGACTGAAACGGTTAACTCATAGTGCTTCAAAATTCATGTTTTCCATTACTCAGCACTATGATTTAACAATAAATTAAACAAATTCAGTTGTTGTCATATATGATCAAGGCTTTCGCCATACGGAAGTGGGCGTGGTTTCATCTAAACTGGGTCTAAAACACAATAGATGCATGCCGTGTTAAGGTAAAAACACACAAACTTCTTTATCTAATGTGTTAGTCAATTGCATATCTTTGGGGGTTGGACTGTTTTTTTCAAACAATCAACAAAATAATTGGCAGATTAGTCCATAATAATAATTTTTAAATATAATATATATATATATATATATATATAATATACATAAGTGAAATTGCTAATTCATTTCACAGTTGTAGATTACGTTTCCATTTTTCAGTAATAAGTGTACAGTTGCTGCTATCCTTGTGCCCATCAAAAGAGGAAGTGGTGTTAAAGGAAAGGAAATACAAATACAATGCTGGCCGTCACTGAAGATATAATAAGTAAAGAAAGTCAGTGCGTCTAGGAGTTTCAGGCATTGCCAAAAGTGATGATCAAACAGTCACTAACATCAAGAATTGCATTACTATAGTCATATAAATCAAGATTTATGTGATGCCAGCACATTCCTGTCTAATTTTATAAGCTCATCACATGTCTTGAATGTAGAACTTGCTGTGTCACTAAGAGAGGAATGCAGTGAAGGAAAACGTGCTGTACAGTAGTTTCCTACCGTAAAGTACAGTATAAAGATGCAGTCATTGATTGTACTAATTGTTTTCTTTATAAAACATAAGGAAATCGGGGAACATGTCCATCACAGTGTCTTCAAATGTCTTTTTATTCACCCAACAGCCAAAAGATACTCCGCTTACAATCATGTAAAACAGAGTAAAGCAGCAAATCCTCACATCGGAGAATCAGGAAACAGAATATGCTACACTTTTTCTTGATAAATGACCACTGAGCGATTCATTGATTTGTTATTTTAATTTTATTGTTTTTTCTCTGAGAAAACCAGAATGGTGATTTATGTAATTTCTCAGCTCAGTTGATCCTTTGATTCCAGTGGATTAAAGCCCAACAGATTCTTGTGACTTGAAGCACTTGAAACCGTGTTGTAAATGGTCAGTGTAGTAAAATCAAAGCTCATCATGCTTTGATTGCGATGCTTGTCATGTGATTATATCTTTTTGAGCCGCAGAGACCAATCCAGCTCTTCTCTGTTGGACTTTGCTGCCTCTCACCCTCGCTCAGATTTTTACGGGTCTTACCTGTTAAATATTTAACTGGGACTTTGCCTCGGGTCCAGATTTTTTATACTGGCTTAATTTTCTGCCTGACTCTATGCTGGATCAGTGTGTTTTCCTCTCTGTCAGCATGGCCACAACTATCTGGCAGAGGTAGTGATGACTAGGCTGCCTCCG